TAACCCCCACAGATATAATGCGTCCTCAAAACAAAAACGGTTCCAATACAGTATTATTCATAGAATTTGACCAGTAAACGAGTTACTGTACCAAATGGGATATAAAGAATAATTTCTTTGCATTTATTTGTAAAGGAGAAAAACAAACCTTGTGCACATGTACTTTGAGCGCAAAATTGGAACAACCTTACACAATGGATCAAAGACAAAACTGGAACAGTACTAGATTTTCAAAATTGACAATTTTGAAAATCAAGAAAAACGAAATGATGTATGAAATCATATTATAACTGTAACAAAGCAAAACATATTCAAATCAAACATTTCCGACTCCATACCAAATTTCCCATACATCAAACAAGAAATAACCGATTCATATTACATCAACAGAAGTAAATACATACAGTTCATGACATTTTGGGCTCTCTGTCACCACGTCATGCACAATCCAACAATATGACACTGGAATAGTTTTTGTTTGTTATTATCTATATAATCAGACGATATACTTTGTACTTTGTATGTATTTAAGATTGTATGTGAACTATTTCTGTAAACCTATTGTTTGTGTACTCCAAAAAGAAATAAAATCATAAAAAAAGTATGTAAGTACGCGTTATGAAGGATGCTGTCAGTGTTTTAGTGTTCCGGATGAAAATGAGAGGTATCAAGTCAACAGTTCGTCTTCCTCAAATTTATGAACACAACAGGTTTATATCCTGATTAATATTCCCTGTTAGCTATCATACTCATTCCGTATACGCGAATCCGCCCTGAGATAAACAATAACATACTTTAGATGTGATCAAAGTCCATCGGGAATCAATTCAATGACAGTACGTTAACATATATCTTATAAACAATCATCTCCGACATGGAAACATCAGTTTCATTATTTTACTCCAGTCTTGTATTTAAATTAATGGATGGACAGATGGCTGATTTGGTTTGTTGGGGAGTTTGTGGTCAGACAGGGTGGTGAATGGATGCATAAGGTTACACACACCCAAATGTTTTCCCATAGACTTCTATAGCAAAGTTATATATATATTTTTAAATATCCATGCATGCAACAGCTATTACCTGTACGTGTGTGCACAGTTTGGCCTAAGAGCAGCAATAAAAACCACAAAATGACAAACTTAGCCAGCTCCTTTTCCGAGTACAGGAAGCTAAACACATCAAACCCAGTTCCGCACCAAATGTTATTTGCTTGAAAATATTTGTGGTCACATTCAGCAAAAGTCATCATGTTGAAAACGACATGGTCAGTTTGAATTACTAGATGCATAAAAATCTTACACAAAATCATCCAATCACAGCTGCCAGATGATTCAATCTGCGATATACGAGAACTGCTCGTTGAGCGACTGATTCTGATTTGGTGTAGTAGAAATCATAACACAAATCATATTCCCACCGACATCAATTCTCTACTCTCGAACCGTGAAGATATGGATTAGAACATCTCTTCTTCAACCCATGCTTGGCGCAAGAGGCGACATGCTTATCGGACCGGGTGGTCAGGCTCGCTGACTTGGTTGATGCATGTCATCCCAACTGCGTGGATCAACGCTAAAAGATGTCAATCACTGGATTGTCCGCTCCAGACTCGATAAATTACGTACCGTCGGCTTTATACGTCATAGAGCTGGAATATTGCTGAGTGTGGCCTTAAACAACAAACACAAAAGCACCTCAATCTAACACTGGCAAATAAAATCCCCAGACAAATCCTGACAAAGCATCCCGTCTTCACACCAATAACCATAATATTCCGTCCCCAACAATACAACCAAACGATTATGCCTGCTACATACTCTCTTGATATGACTATAGTTGTCTTTCATCATGTTAGCCATAAGAACCCTCTCATTCTCTCACTACACTATAACAACCCTCTCAACCACACTCTTACTATTCGATAACAGCCCTCTCATACGCCCTTCACACGAAGCCACAACAACCCTTTTATCCACACTCTTAATATTCGATAACAGCCCCCTTATACGCTCCCTCACTTCTATAACAACCCTCTCAACCACACTCTTACTATTCAATAACAGCCCTCTCATACTCCCTCTCATACGCCCTCTCACGAAGCCAAAATAGTCCCCTCATCCACACTCATACTCTTCAATGAAAACCCCTTTATACGCTCCTTCACTTCTATAACAACCCTCTCAACCACGCTCTTACTATTCGATAACAGCCCTCTCATACGCCCTTCACACGAAGCCATAACAACCCTCTTATCCACACTCCTAATATTCGATAACAGCCCCCTTATACGCTCTCTCACTGTGGTATAACAACCCTCTCAACCACACTCTTACAATTCAATAACATCCCTCTCATACTCCCTCTCATACGCCCTCTCACGAAGCCAAAATAGCCCCCTCATCCACACTCATACTCTTCAATGAAAACCCCTTTATACGCTCCTTCACTTCTATAACAACCCTCTCATCCACACCCATACTATTCAATAACATTCCCTTATACTCTCCCTCAGTACGTTATAACAACCCTCTCATCCACACTCATACTATTCAATAACAACCCCTTTCTACGCTCCCTTACTTCTATAACAACCCCCTCATCCACGCTCTCACTACTCGATAACAACCCCCTCATCGACACACTTACTATCCGATAACAACCCCCTCATCAACACTCTCATTATCAACACTTTCAATGAGTGAAATCAAACCTCTCATCAATTCATTAACGTTACTATTACAACCCTCATATCGCAGCTCCCACCCAACGATAACACACACACCCTAACTACAACGGTCTTACATCCGTCACATACGCTCGCTCACTACGCTATGCCGACCCTCTCATCCACGAAACCATACAAACTACCTTCTCACTACAGCCCTTCTCAACTGTGGTGTTCGTGGACGACAACGACCCTATCGTTCGTGCTCTCACTTGGCTATAACGAACTTCTAACATCCATGCTCTCACTAAATGATAACAACCCAATGATCCATGCTCTCTGAACAACAGCAACCCTATCATCTATGCTCTCTCTAAATGATAACAACCCTATCAGCCATGCTCTCTTTAAACAACAACAACCCTATCATACATGCTCTCTTTAAACAACAACAACCCTATCATCCATGCTCTCTCTGAACAACAGCAACCATATCATCCATGCTCTCTCTGAACAACAACAACCCTATCATCCATGCTCTCTTTAAACAAAAACAACCCTATCATCCATGCTCTCTCTGAACAACAGCAACCAAATCATCCATGCTCTCTCTGAACAACAACAACCCTATCAGCCATGCTCTCTTTAAACAACAACAACCCTATCAGCCATGCTCTCTCTGAACAACAACAACCCTATCAGCCATGCTCTCTCTGAACAACAACAACCCTATCATCCATGCTCTCTCTGAACAACAGCAACCAAATCACCCATGCTCTCTCTGAACAACAACAACCCTATCAGCCATGCTCTCTTTAAACAACAACAACCCTATCAGCCATGCTCTCTCTGAACAACAGCAACCATATCATCCATGCTCTCTTTAAACAACAACAACCCTATCATCCATGCTCTCTTTAAACAACAACAACCCTATCACCCATGCTCTCTCTGAACAACAGCAACCATATCATCCATGCTCTCTCTGAACAACAGCAACCAAATCATCCATGCTCTCTCTGAACAACAACAACCCTATCAGCCATGCTCTCTCTGAACAACAGCAACCCTATCAGCCATGCTCTCTCTGAACAACAGCAACCCTATCATCCATGCTCTCTCTGAACAACAGCAACCAAATCATCCATGCTCTCTCTGAACAACAACAACCCTATCAGCCATGCTCTCTTTAAACAACAACAACCCTATCAGCCATGCTCTCTCTGAACAACAGCAACCCTATCATCCATGCTCTCTTTAAACAACAACAACCCTATCAGCCATGCTGTCTTTAAACAACAACAACCCTATCACCCATGCTCTCGCTAAACAACAGCAACCCTATCACCCATGCTCTCTCTAAATAACAGCAACCCTATGATATATGCTCTCACTAAACAACATTATGTTTCAGGTTTGTCAATACCATACCCGTGCTCGTGGGTTTAGCCGAAGTGGTAAACGTCTGAGACCTGCAAGACTTTGGGCTTTCCTCCCACATTAAACTGACACGCCGTGATATAACTGGAATACTTTAAAAAAACATCGTTAAACCCAGCTTACTCACTCACTCTAAACAACAGCAACCTTATCATCCATGCCCTCACTAAACGATAACAAACCTATCATCCATCCTATCTCTAAACAACAGCAACCCTATCATCAATGCTCTCAAAAAACGTTTTGTTTGTTTGTTTGTTTGTTTGTTTGATGTTTAACGCCGCACTCAACTATATGACACATATATGACGGCGGTCTGTCAATAATCAAGTCTGGACCAGGCAATCCAGTAATTGTCATGAGCATCGATCCACGCAAGTGGGATACGATGACATGTATCAACCAAGTCAGCGAGCCTGACCACCAGATCACGTTAGTCGCCTCTTACGGCAAGCATAGTAACAACCCTATCATCCATGCTCACTCACACTTAGCAATTACAAACCTCTCATCCATAATATCACGAAATGATAACAAACCTATCATCGATGTTCTCACTACGCGAAAGTTACACTCCTATCCACGCTCTCACCAAGTGATAACACCCCTAATGTTAACGCATGACCCTCCCATCCACGCTACCACCCAACGGCTACAACTCTCTCTCCCACGCCCCCACCCAATTTACCCATCACACTAAAATATAATTCCTCAGCCACTGCATGGTCCAGCGACAGAGCCCCTTAACAACTGCCCAGACTGCTACAGCATCTTGTTGGAACCCTTTCCCTGTCCGTATCTCCTGATTCCTTGGTTTCAACTTGAATCAGCGCCAATTAAACTATTCCGCAATGGCCTCTGACAGTAGCCTCCAAGGTGTATTAGCAACAACGGAGCATTCTGCAATTACTTTAGTCCTTTTCTGGGGCTTACCATGCCATACGTATGATAACTAAATAGGTTTAGGTTTCGTTATTGAAATAATAGCCAACGTGTCAATCAGCGCATAGGCGCTCCTGCCAATCGCTTGTTCGGCCTTGAGTGGGCGGGCTAATACCGATACTTCCACACCAATATCCGAACTGAAAGTAGCAAGTCTTAGCGACTACGGTAGAGGTTCTCGCGGTTAGATTTTCCCTCAACGACGATAGCGTCGGGAGGGACAGTGTGAGAGCATGTGATTTTCCCAGTCACTCAACATTGATTCGATCCTTCTACAAGTTGATTGGATAGCGCCATCCGAGGTCGTGTATTAGGAGAGAGGAGCAATCACCATGTACCTGACCTGGCGAAAGGTGGCGCACCAGTTTACCTGTGCAGCTGAACACTTGTTTATCACCTGTATCTAGACGACAGGTAAGAAATCATTATTCTTGCTTTTTCGACGCTAAGAGTAATATTGGTGCAAGCAGCGAAAGGTAAGTGTGAAATGATTCACTATTTATTCAACAAAAATCTTGTGTTAACGTTATCTACGCACTCAGGAGTTTATTATGAAATAAAACTAAAGTACGACTATGTCGGATTCATCAAAATGTCACTCAGAATCGCCGATTTCATTCATAAAGGATGCATGTGACATAAAAACGACAAAGCACAATCAACCAGACTGATGCAAAAAAGAAAAGAAATTAGTGACAATTAAAACTACTGTATATAAGTTCTAACAAATGATAAATGATGAAATACTTACACAACAAAATAACTCCTCACACACAGTTCTTTCTCCAGAATGACATGCCAATGACAATTTAGATTTGATTCATAACACTATTACGCTTTCATTTTGCGTCAACCATCAAAAATGGTAGCGTCGTGCTGATGTCACTGAGACACCCAATACAATCGGATTGGGAACATTTGCAGGGAGGTTGAACTGTTTCTCACGTTTTCAAATCATGCACGTAAACTGAAATATGGTAAAATAGTATACAAACCATTTGTTTTCATGTTGAAATCTATCCTGATTTGTGCACTGTTTGGTACATATATGGTACAACATAATGCAATGTAAACTATTGTTATCACGTGGTTCTGAAGATGTGGTCAGTGGACATAGAGAGTTTATCGAAATGATTACTCACATACTTGGTACTTTAACCGTCATTACTTTTCCACCCTAAATACAACATCTGGCACATTCATATATATTACCGCATTTGTAACGGAATCACAATGTTACTGACGTTAAATACTACTACCACTACAACTACTACTACTACTACTACTACTACTACTACAACCACTACTACTACTAAATTCAATGAGAGTAGCCAACACATTGTCAGGGGATGGGCAGCTTTGGCACAAACACAGTATCTTCAGCGAGCCTTTTATTACCGTCTGCGCCATGCTTGTGGTTTTGACACAGAGGTGCATCCATAGTACGACATAGAATATGAAGAGGGCGTCTTGGAAACTGATTAATATTAATTAGAAAGACGGTCATTACTGATGAGTGAGTGGGTTGGGTTAACGCCGCTTTTAACAGTATTACAGTTATATTGCGGCATGTCAGCCTAATGTGGGAGGAAAGCCCGAAGTGATGCAGGTCCCAGACGTTTACCACTTCGGTAAAACCCACGAACACGGGTAGGGTGCTGGCAGACCTAGAAACATCATTACTGACGTGAAGCCTTATGTACTTGTGTCAATATATCAAATGAAAGCGACAAAACGCTCTCCCTATGACCAAGAAATCTCTGCCAAAACTAAAGACGATCGTACAATGCCGGCCACATCATGAGCATGCGTCCAATAATCACCATCAAAAAGTGGTGATACCAGGTGTTCGCAAACAGGCGTGCGTTCGAAAACCGTGAGGGGGGAATTGGTGTCCCAGTCATCTATGGTTTCGCAATTCGCTGTGCAATGGTGATTTGCGTCCCAAGGGCGTGCCGGAAACCTATGATCGTAGATCCATCCTGATTGTATTTCAATGTTGCTCGGTAATAAACTGTGCTGGTGTGTTTCACCAAGGTGTTAAACGTCTGAGGCCAACACCACTTCGGGCTTTCCTCCCCCATAAAGCTGATTAACTGAAATACTGTTCACAGCGGCGTTAATCCAAACCAAGTTTCCCACCCACTCCCTTCAGACACTTTACAGAAGACTCCTGAATGACTAATAACAGTTTCACTGAAGTAGAATCAAAACAATTCTGGTTTAGTTAGGAAATTGTCAAGAAGCCATCACCGCAAGATATATGGCTCGTCGCCTTCGTCATACAATTGTACTTTGCGAAAATAACATTTGCAACAGCAGATTGAAGAAATAACAAATGAAGTTTCCCAAGAAAATAACAGGTCTTCCGTCATACTTTAGCATATCGCTAGGGGATATTCACCTTCGTTTATTGAATTCGAGACTCCAAATGCCGTTAAAAAGCCATAATTAGCCATTACATCCAGTTTATGACACACACGGGATCACTTTTGTTTGGATAGGAACGTGCGTAAATAGGATCCCCCTTATTTACATATCGACGATCGTACTGTATAAAGTGAAGGGCCAATACAGGCCTATATATCTCTCTGGCATATCTGATATTATTTTTGATGACGGGTCTCACTGACGTGCCCTTTGACATTGCCACCAACGACTGCTACGTTGATGTAGTCAGAGATGGCTTCTGGAAAGACATAGTAATCACACTTAGATGTGGAATAGTGATGGAAATACATCATATATTCTTTATTTTATGGACCGCCTCCGTGGTCTTGTGGTTGAGCGTCCGCCCGGAGAGCGGAAGGTCCAGGGTTCGATCCCGGGCCGCGTCATACAAAAAGACGTTAAAAGATTGTACTTGTTGTTACCCTGTCTGGCGCTCGGCATTAAGGGGCTAAAACAAGGACTGGTCGGCTCGGAGTCAGTATACTGTGTCTGAGTGGGGTATTCATGTTAAACTGCGGCATGGTATCTCAGTGAGCTAGCACTATAAATCGGCATCAGTCCGGACTAGTACAAGCAGCCACACACACACATACACGTGCATGCACATCGCTATATAAGTGCAATAATCTTGGACGCGACGTTAAACCCAATTTCACCTCACCTCACCTTTATTGTATGGAGTAATGTCTGACTTAAGGTAGGACGACTGAGAAAGTATAACATGGAACATGTTGCAATGAGGTGAACTAATATTAACTTTAGCTGGATTCTGCTGACCTCCATCCCTCCATGACCTTGGATATGCATTTGAGATGTATAGTGATCGTGTTATGTGTAGTAACTTGAGAGTCTGTATGTAAGTTTCAGGATTTGCCTGACTGTTTTGTTTAAGATCAATTTGTAGCGTACGTTTAGATCTTTCATTTGAAAAGCATACATTTTGATGTCAAGGATCTCGGACTAATTCCGGTGTTCTCTGTTGATTATGAGGTGTCTCGATATCTGTATCGACATGAATGTCACAATCAAAAGTGAAGACATGGTTTAAGGATGAAAGCGGTAATTTAGGGGGCACTGCTCTGGCAGCATTAAAAATTACGTTTTGTCAGGAATAGCCTTTCGTATTAGTAGCACTCGCCGTTCGTGAAGGTAAATCACTATGGCTCTAAGAAAATATTTTCTACTACATGTTTAAAAAATATCGAGTCAGGAGGTTAGATTACATACATAGCCATATTGAGAATGATATTTCTTCACGACACTGATCCCTTCTGAGCGTCAATGTCGTTTACCATACTGTATTTTTGTAGACACATATTCATATATCACATTATTCAGATCATTCTCCTGTCAAGCACCTATGCTGTGGAATACACTCCCAGAAGCCCTAAAAACTGCAGAGACCCTATCTGTCTTTAAGGCAAAACTAAAAACATTTCACTTTGACAAGTATTACCCTTGTACTATGTTAGCGCCACGAGCACACGAGCTGGTATGGAGTTTGGCGCCATATAAATGGACTCATTATTGACTCACAATTATTCCCAAGGTGGAATTTTCATTATTTTGTATTTCATAAGTAGATATACTATTATTATGCCTACAAGTACATAATATCGTTATCTCAGGTAGGGTGTAACGTTTCAACAATCTTAACATCTCATTTCATATCATCAATGATGACTGCGATAACCGCACAGTATACGTAATGATGGTCGTATAGATCTATTCGAGTGGGGGTTATATTACTTCAACATTGTAAATACAAACTGTCAACGCCAGGAATATTCTGTCTCGAGTACCTGCCGAAACAGATTCCATTAGCAATAAACGGCGAAATAGTGATGACAATTATATGAACGCATCACTGGAAAACAGTGACGACACCAGGTGTTCGCGAAAAGGGTAAAAACCTCACACACTGTTTCATGGCAAAAAAAGTGCTTGTCTGTTGCTAAACCTAGCCTAACACCTGTCACACGACGGTGGCCGGCAAGCAATCAAATCTGGACGAGACAATCCAGTGATCAGGAACATGCGCGAAGATCCACGTCGTTGGGGTACGGCGCTTCACCATCAACCAATTATTCACCCAGCATGACCACCGGTCGATCAGAGTAAGTGCCAGTGTGTACGAAGGAGTGAAAACTGCACGTTAGGTCATAGTATGGGAAAGCATTGAGCATCATGTTGGCAGTTTACCTATAATTATTACATATTAGTACATTCCTCAGAATGTCTACCGTAAAATTTCAGGAATGACTTGACCAGGCCTTTGATGGTAAAACTTTGATTGAAAAGCTCAGCTGTCAGGAAAATGTGTCTTTACTGAAATATGAATAATATGCACATGTTCTTAAGCACCTACGCAAATGAGTAATGTATACACCATCAGCTGGGGATGATGGTATATTGCTCTACGTGAAGGGCTGGCACCATAAATATGGCATGAAATCTTGGTAGAAAGAGCATACTCGACTGTACCTCAGACAACATAACCTGGCGCGGATAGTATATTGCTCGACGTGAAGGGAAAATTCACGATGGGAAAATCCCAATCCTCAGGCTTGACATACGGCTTGGTACACTACCATCTCAATCATCTCGCTTGACATACGGCTTGGTACACTACCATCGCAATCATCAGGCTTGACAAACAGCTTGGTACACTACCATCGCAATCATCAGGCTTGACATACAGCTTGGTACACTACCATCGCAATCATCAGGCTTGACAAACAGCTTTGTACACTACCATCTCAATCATCAGGCTTGACAAACAGCTTGGTACACTACCATCCCAACCATCAGGCTTGACATACGGCTTGGTACGCTACAATCCCAATCATCAGGCTTGACATACGGCTTGGTACGCTACCCAACAATCATCACGCTTGATATACGGCTTGATATACTACTTTCTCAATCATACGGCTTCACAAAAAGCTTGGTAGGCTACCATC